CTAAAAGCTGCTGGAAGAAAATCTTTCAACAAAAGAGGGCTTGGTCAACAGTGTCAGATACCGACAGGCCAAGCAGGATATAGTCGAAGTGTCTGCTTAGATTTGGCAACAAAGGTGCTCCTGGTAACTTGGCAAGGGCATCTAGGAGAAGCGGAGGTGGGGCTGGAGGCCAACCGCAGAGGGTGGGACACATAGGAAAGTGTAAACTGGTCTTTCTGGAATGTTAGCAGTGAAAGTAGAGCAGACAGAGCTGCAGGGGAACATGATCCTGGAGGAGGCAGAAGAAGGGAACAAATACAGGAGTGGGAGAGAGAAGAGGCAGTCTCTGCTGGGAGGTCTCTGGGTTGGGTAGAAGTGTTGGATACAAAGAAAGACTTCTCTACTTATTCAGGAGGGAAGCGGGCAGGAGGTGCAAAAATAGGTAGGTCTGGAGAAGAAAGAAAAGGAAGAAGAGGAAGTTCCTGTCTTGTAAAATCTGAAGGATGGTTCTTGGCAAGGAAAGAGGGCAGAAAGCCAAGGGTCTGAGGGAAAAAGGAGGGGCTAGCCTGTGCTGTCCAACTTGGTAGTCACTAGCCATGTGTGGTCATTTAAATTAATTAAAAGTTAATAAAACATTTCATTCCTCAGATGTACGCATCACATTTTAAGTCCTCAGTGGCCACATGTGATTAGTGACTACTATATCTGGCAGCACAGATGTAGAACATTTCATCATTGCTGTTGGACAGCACTGATCTAGACAGAGCATGGTGCCCAGAGACCCTGCCTGGCTGTAAGTCCAAACTGGAGGTCATGCCCACAGCAGGGCCCCAGAAGAATCCTCCCATACTGTCTTCATTTAAGACCTTCCTTCCCTCTTTAGGATTCCCTCAGATCTCCTTCCTGGGACAGCCAACCGCTTCCTCACTTCTGCTTTCATGAGGCTGCTCCTGAGGCTCTCTGCCTATCCCAGTGCCAGGACTCCTACAGCATGGGAAGGGCTTGCGGAAGGATTGGGAAGAGCTACAATGCTCAGGGTTGTGCCAGGACAGTAGGAGCCCATGGATAGAGGTGAGCTGACCCCCAGCACTGACTCCACTGGGCTCAGGGCAAAGCATCGGCTCAACACCACCCAACAACAGATCCAGAAGGACCTCAAAGATTGCTCAATTTAACACCACATTTCACAGATGGGAACACTGAGTTTCAGAGAGAGCTGGGAAGAAAGTGCAGAAGGCAGAGGTTTGTCCTCATTCCTTTACCTGTACTCCACCCTTTGCTTTCCCCAGACCTGGTGTTCAGACAGAGCTGGGAGCTGGGGCTAGGCCACAGGTAAGGAGCCCAGGATTAGACCAAAGCTCCCACCTGACCAGAGGTAGCTGAATAAGATTGATGGCTAAAGGGGATGTCTCAGCCTGATATGCTTGGGGAGAAGCATTTCCTATGGAAGTGACATGGCATCGACTAGGTATCTGTGCTTGGGGGAGTAGATGTGTTCAGATGGTTGTGTTTACAGGGCCCAAGCTGGTCAAATGTGTGGCTACAAGGGGGATATGCATTTGGGTGAGTGTGCACGAGACACCTTGTGGCTTCTGAGCACACCATAGACCTGCTCACTACTGGCACCTGCCGCGTGATGCCGGCCCAGGCTAAGTCTGATACCTGATGTGGAGCAGCAACAGGTCACAGCAACAGGAGCATTTTAAAAATAGGTCCTTAAAATTGCCTGGGGAGTTTGCTGTCCTTACAGATCATATGACCAACTCCAGAGATTCTGGTTCAGGAGGTCTAGGGTGGGCCCAGGTACCTGCACAGTTGATAAGCTCCCCAGGGAAACCTGAGACTAGTAAGAAACAGGACTCAAGCAGAGCTATCCAATAGAACTTTCTATGGTGCTGAAAATGTCCTGTGCGGTCTAACATGGCAGTCACCAGCCACATATGTTTACTTAGCAGTTGTAATGTGACTCGTTTGAGGAACTGAAGTTTTTATTTTATTTAATTTTAATTTTACTTTAAATAATCACCCATGGCTAGTGGCCACCACATAGGAGAGCACAGGTCTAGAGACATGAGACAGTGGGATGGATGAGGGCCCAGAGAAAGAAGCACAAAGCTCCAGTATAGGAGTGTGAGAGAGGCCCCGCCCAGCCACAGCCCTTCCACACCAGGAGAGGCTGAGGCTGGGGTGAGGTTCTCTTGACAAGGTGCAGAGTTGGAGCCAGAGCTCAAAATTGTGCAAGTCTCTCCCAGTGTCCACCATGAACTATCGGCAACCCAGTGTCTGCCTAGCTGAGAGGGCGGGAGAGTTCCTGAGGAGACCCTTCTGCTCTGGCTGGGACCCCATCAGGGCCTCACGCTGTGTCCAGTCAGGAGTTGAGGGCTGAGGGTCAGGATGTCTTCATGTTTTCCTGCAGGCCCAGGGTGGAGCTGGTGGCTGCGGGGTCATGCTCACCCTGTGGGAGCATTGAGGGTAATAAAAGTCAGCCTCAGGGGAGCGGCTGGCTCCCCACCACAGACACACTGCCCGACCTCTCTGGAGGGCCCAACTCAGGGAGTTCTCTTACCGCCTCTGGCCTCATGTCCTCCGCATACTTGAACTTCTTTTGCTTGTAGTAGTGCCTCTTGGGCAGGATGTGGAGCAGCAACAGGTCACAGAGAACTGTGGCCTGGGGACAGGAAGGTGGTGGATAGAGCATGGGAATCTGGGAGCAGGGACAGAACCCTCCACATCCCACCTCAGTCCTAACTGACTTTTGGGGCCTGGCTGAATCCTGCCCTATCCAGACCTCAAGTCTCAGAGGATGGGGAAGTACTGCAGGCCCCTCAGGAGACAAACACCATCCCATTCCACCTCTGTCCTGCCCCAGCTCTGGGCCTTGGTTTCCTCAGACATACTGTGGGTCTAGGAGGGGTGAGGTCAGCTCAATAAGGATGAACAATTATGGTCAAGTTATAGAGTGAGAGACTTGTTGCTGATACTGATATGGGGGAGAGGAGGGACTGACCCCAGCACAGTGATCCCATGTCGCCAGCACTTACCACCCCAAAGATGCCAATCCCAGAGCCAATGGTAGTCATTGTGGGGATGATGTCAAATTTCCCAGCCTGGTGGCAGGACCCAGGAGAGAAGGGTTAACAGTCAGAAAAGGTCTGGTTGAAAAGGCCTTCCTTAGAAGCCATAAGGCCAGGCCTGGGGCAAGGGGGCCAACCCCTCCCACTGTCAGCTGGCCCCACAGCCTGCTGCCAAGGGTCTGGTTCTACATGGCAACTCAGCTTCTTGTAAGGCTTTGACCTTGACTCTGCCTCCCTGGACACAGGGAGATAGTGGAGGAGGTACAGTCATAGGCTGGAAGCCTTGCCCTCATTGGTCCCCAGGGCTATCTGTTATTAGAAATAGAACTGCTGGATGAAACCTATCCAACTTCCTGTCGTCTTTAACCACAGATGCCTAATAGGCACTTACAGGATCCAAGAAAGTGTCTCTGGCTGCTGCTCGCACTGACACTTACCTTGCCATCCACGAGGATGTCAAAGCGAATCCCAAAAACCTTGAAGAGGTGCCGGTGGTTGGTCCTATTCTCCACGAAGTGCCTGGCAAACCTTGGGGAAGAGGTGAAGTTGGAGGGAGATGACGGAGAACTATCTCGGGTTGGGAGTTTACAGAGCGGGGATACAGTGTCCCTTAGAGATCTATAAGGACAGCCCTACGTCCTCCAACATTATATAAAGGGGGAGCCATAGGTAGGATCCCAGACCTCATTCCAGGAATGCGGTACTCAACCCCCACCCTGACTCCTGATGTGAGCAATTCCCCCAACCAATCCTGGCCAGGTGGGCCTCGAGGTGACTGAGAGCCAGGGGCAGGGGCTCCGGGCTCCAAGGTCTTGCTCCCTGCTGGCTTCCTGCTTGTCCAATCCCAGGAGGTCAGGAGCTGCCCAGGCTCTTCTGCTCCCCTCCCAGGGACACTTACTTGGCCCAGAGGGTTCTGGGAATAGGAAAGCCCACAGGATCCCAAGGAAGGGTGCACTGATAGAGGTCTGACAGGCACCTGAAGTTGAAGCCTTGAGACAGATTTTTCTCCTCATACAGCCCGTGGAACTCATAGATGGGTTTGCAGTGTCGTACGTTCCAGTCCAGGTCACAATTCCAGTCAATGGTGATGCCCACCACCCCGCCCTGCCAGGGACACAGGCATGTAAGATCTGGAGTTTCAGGATTAAGAAGCAGCTGTCTTGCAGCTGGTGTCAGCATTCTCTTGAAGGTTTTTTATCTTGAGAAGAGATACTGAGAAGCTGCTTCAGAGTCGAGGTCCTGTCACCCTCTCTGGCTCTATCTCCCGCCCATCACACTCCGGCTTTCTGACTATTTCTAGAATACATCAACTTCTTCCTACTTCAGGGCCATTGCACATGCAGTTCCCCCGGTTCCTCATAAGGCTGGCTCTTTCTCATTCTTTGGTCACTTCTCCTAAGAGGCCTTCCCTGACCATCACCCTAGTCTAAAATATGTTCCTGTTATTTCCCCTGTGTTTTTTTCTGGAACACGTGTCACTTTTAATCATATTTTATTTTGTGTGATTATTTATTAACCCATCTCTTCCAAGACCATAAGCTCCATGAGGGTGGGGCTGTCTGTCTTATTCACTGATTCTTGATTTCTTAGCACAAGTCATAGTGTGGGAGGCAAGTGAATAGTTGTTGAATTAAAGAATGAGTCTATAGAGACATGGGCTTGGAGAAGAAAACTTGAGAAAGCGAAGCTCCTCCAGTCCAGGCAAGGATCAGGGACAGGAGGGGGTGGGCTGGGCGATGGAAGTGTTGAGAAGTGGTCAGAGCAGGTGAGGAGCTGGACAACTAGGCAGGAAGCTGGTACCTGTAGATGGTGGTGATGAGTGAGAAGTTCCCAGTGGGGGAGGCATGGAGATTTTTAGGAACGAGGAGGTCTATCATTCAGCTTTCTGGTCCTGTGTGTTGCTACAGTATAAACCCTCTCCAGGAGTGGGCAAACTGAGGCCCGAGGCCTGAATATGTTTACCTATTGCCTGTGGCTGCTTTTGCCCTCCTGCAGCTGACCTGAGTAGTTGGGGCAGAGACCACATGGCCTGCAGAGCTGAAAATACTTACTCTCTGGCCCTGTTCTAGACAAATGTGTTGTGAATTTGTGTGTGTATGTGATGTCACAGAAAAGGGGCTGATTCCATCCCTGAATAGGCATTGAAGGAACAGGATAATAAAGACTACGTGGGAACTTGTACATTGAGTTGCCACGTGCCAAGGAGTACAGAAGTGCTGTCCCATGCATGAACTCAATTGATCCTCAAGACAATGCCATGAGACAGGTACTATTATTGCCTCCTCTTTGCAGGCACAAAAGCTCAGGTACACAGAAAGTAAGAGACTTTCTGAGGTCACATTGCTCCTTAGGGGCAAAATTGGAATTTAAACCTAGTCAGAGAGGTCTGTGCTGCTTATGAGGTACTGCTTCTCTTGGAACCCCAGGTGACTGTGTGGATCTTGGCCTCTGGAATTCCCAGGATTTCGCAGGGTCATGGGCCATGGGATTTAAGCTGCTTTTATCTAATACTTTAAAAACAGTGAGACCTCAGCAAATGTCCAGGTGACAACATCTGCCCACATTCATTCTGGACACCTCCTCTGTGCCAGGTCCATGGCAAATGTCCAGGTGACAACATCTGCCCACATCCATTCATTCTGGACACCTCCTCTGTGCCAGGTCCATGCCAGACTGTGCTAAAGACACAGACCTGACCCTCAGGGGCTCCCAATATTAGGGGATAGATCCAAACATATACTCAGCCCACACCAGGGAAGCTGGAGTGGGGATTAACTGGGCCCGAAAAGTTCTTATTGTCCTGATGATCTCGGGGCTCAGCCCTCCCCACTCGCCTGGCACAATACCTTCTCAGCCAGGGTGCTAAAATTCTGTCCTGACTGTTGTACCACGTAGCCGAGATTGAAGACAGGGCACAGCGGGTGTGAGGTTTTATGATACAGGCAGGTCTTCATGTAGGTGGCATTCACCTCCTCCACCAGGTTGCGCCTATGGGACAGAGGGCATTAGCGGCAGCAGTATGCCTGCTGGGACAGTGCCCACCATGCCCTGAAGCTCTGGGGATCCCTCACAGGCTCCAGAAATGCCCCTTCCACAGCCCTTAGAAACTGAAGGCAGCCCACCCCAGGGGCCCGGTCTCTGGAGTGAAATCAGTAGGAGCGGAGGATGACAGAGGCAGTTGAGATCAGCAGGAGCAGCCTCTGGAAGCCACCTGCATTTTGCCCTCTTTTCCCACGAACCTGTTGACCTTGAAGCGTGGAAAACTGATGCTGTTCTTGATGAAGAGAGTGAAGTTCTCGGCTTCTTGGAGAAGGGCGGGGCTGCAGGAGACAAAATTCACTCACCGCCTTCTTCCCATGAGTTCCCCATGTGCCTGCCAGAGATGGCACTGTGTGTGGGAGCCTATGGGATCCTCCTGGGGTCTTGGATGGATGGAGGGATGTGTATACTGTAATGGTGGATTCTCAGTCCCCTTGACCAGGGGCCAGAGGGCTCTCTGGCCTGAGCTCCACAGATGGGGTGAAGGTGGGGTTGGAAGAAGGAGGGCCTGATCCTTTCCAGAGCATGGACCCAGATGCCCCTCTGTTTGGGCTTGGGGACTCTGCTCCCAACTTCCTGGAAGGACAGGGCATTACCGTGGGATGTCGTCATCAACTTCCACGGGGCACCAGCCAAAGATCTCACAAGTCCGCACAGTGTTGTTGAAGGCCACACACTTGCCCGTGCGGATGCCTGGAGGGAGGGAGAAACCCCTGGGTGCCCAACCCAAGCTGGGGGTGCAGAGGAGGCCCCCCATGTCCTACCCCTAGGGCTCCTCATGATGGAGCACCCAAGAGCAGAAGCTTGAACACATAAATGTGGCTGGGTCTGGGACAGGTCCAACCAAGGTCAGGATGGCAGAAAGGGAGAGGGCAGAAAGGACTTTCTGGTGGAGGAAGCCTGAAGCTGAAAGGGCTGTGAAGGGTGACAGGAAGAGGCTAACCTTACCTTGGGCCTTCCTTTCTGCCTTCCCTGGAGTGCAGCCACTGTCATTCTTGCACGTGCCCCCTTCTGGATTCTGGGGGAGGGGAGAGCTGCTAGCCCTAGGTCCTTGGCTAGAGTCCTGAGAAGACACCCTCCACCCCACCAAGGGTCCAGGGAGGGCACAGGGCAGTCTCAGATGCCTTTGAATTGACACCTGTTCAAGGCCTCCTTCACCCAGTGCCCTCCCAGGACCTCTCTAGGCTCATGCCCAGCTGCCCCATTGCTGATGTCAGCTGGCAGGTTGGGTGGGTATTGAGGCTCAGCATCCTGCTTAGCACACAGCTGAGAGAGAAGCCTCAGCACTGCCAGTGGTGGCCTCTTATTTTGTGTAAATCTATGCCCGAAATTCCACCACTGTAGCCCCTGCAGGGAGCCTATCTAGCTTCACCTCCAAAGCCCAGGGAGACCTCCTTTTCCACGTTACTTTCCCCTGTGGGTTGAAGAAGGAGGCATGGACAGTCCTTACCTCTGCACAGTAGCCTTGAGCCTGCTGGGGGGTCGCAATAAAATTTGTCATGACCACGAAGGAGCTGTCTCCCTGGAAGTGAAGGACAGGGCTCTGAGCTGGGGGAACAGCCCTGAGAACCCAAGCACTGCCCCAGCAGGCCCTGGAACCCACATGATACTCTATACCTCATGACATCAGAGTGGGGTTATATTAATAGGCTGTTTCTGCCTTTCACTCACGGTTAGGGAAACTGAGGCCCAGAGAGAGATAGGAGCTGAACTGATCCCACAGCGAGGCGGAAGAGAGCCCAACCTAATTCTGAGCCAGTCCCTGTCAGTAGAACGAATACACCTGAGTAAGCTCACCTGGGCTGGAAAGACGTAGTCAGCCACGTCCCAGACCTGGGGGCCCAGGCCCGGGAACTGCGTCATAGCCAGACCCTTGAGTTTCACAGACACGCTGCTGATGAGGCCACTGGAGGACTGGTAGCCCTTCTCGTAGACAAAGACCCACCTGCAGAGGGTCGGGGGCAGAAGGGTCATTGAAAGATGGCATGTGCGTGTGTGGGCCATTGCCCTTTTTGGTTAAGTCTTTTCCCTTGCCTTCCCCAGATGCATCTCTGAGCCACTCTCTGCTCCTAAAGGTACATCAGTACAAAGGACAGAGAGCCTCACCTGCCTCCCCCAGCTGGCCCATGCTTGAAGTCCTATCATCTTTTCACTATGAAAATACTAATTCCCAGGGAGAAGACTCAATGAAGGACTCTTTCAGATCCTTTTCCAGAGCAGGATTTGCTGGGGCCTGGAAGCCAAGCTTCTTGAACCCCAATCCTCTTTCTAAGAATACTCCATCCTTCCCGAGGTCCTCCCACTTGAGAAACAGCAGAGCATGATGGCCCAAAACCTGGCAGCACATGGCCCCCAGTTGAGGCCCTGTGGGAATGGCCCAGGCTGGAGGCCTCCCAGCTTTCTCGAGAAATTCTGGCCTTCCCTTGCCACCATCAAAACCCCTGTTCCTTTGGGTTTTCCACTTTCAATCTAGGAGGTTCAGCCAGGCCCGCCACCCTCCTAGCTCCAGGCTCGTCAATCAGTGTTCCATCACCTGAGCACCCGTGATGGGCCTGAGGACGGGTACGTGATTTGGGGAGTTTCAACAGCAAGGCCAGGATTTTTCTTGGAATTACTGGGAAAGAGACAGCCTCTTTGCTGGGTGGCTAAGCAAAGTGGCTACAAAACCAAAACTATGGTTAGTCATCGTTGCCACCTCATGGAGAGAACGAGAAAGCCAACTTAGAGGAAAGCCAGGCCAGGAAATGGAGAGGGGGAGACTCCTACCATGGTGTTTGAGCACCAGGACCCAGCCATGCCTAAAGCATGAAAAATCTACTTCTGGACTTTTCAGTTGCATGAACTAACAAATTCCCTTCCTCTACGTAAGCCAGTTTGGGTGTGGTTTCTGTTGCTTACACCTGAGAGTCATGGATAACACTTCTCTCCAGGGCAGGGTCCTATTCCTCAGTGAAAGACTCTTCATGGAGATTCATGTGACTCTCTGTGTGTGTGTCCCTGGTGCCCATCAGAGTGTGCAGCTGTTTATCTCCAGGGCAAATCTGCGAGTGAACCTGTTTATCTCCAGGGCAAATCTGCGAGTTGCTGTGTCTGACCGTGGGCAGGTGTCTTTATGCCCCCTCACCTCTAGCTCTACCTATACCCCCCAACCCCTCGCCATCTGCCTGTCCACTTAGAGCTCAAAGCCCCTCGCCTGTGCCTTAGAGCTCAAGCTTGGTAACAGAATTCTCTAGACCTCTTAGTCCCAGAGTCACTGCTAGCTCTCTAGGGGCTTTTACCTGTTGCTGTGTCTGACTGTGGGCAAGTGTCTTTATGCCCCCTCACCTCTAGCTCTACCTATACCCCCCAACCCCTCGCCATCTGCCTGTCCACTTAGAGCTCAAAGCCCCTCGCCTGTGCCTTAGAGGTCAAGCTTGGTAACAGAATTCTCTAGACCTCTTAGTCCCAGAGTCACTGCTAGCTCTCTAGGGGCTTTGTCTCTGCTCCAGACCCCAGGAAGGCAGCCCACCAATGTCCTCTTCTTACTTTGCATGATCCACTTCTTTCTTTCTCCAAGACCCTCCCTGAGGCTGACATTAGAGCCAAGCCACTCCCACCTTCAAGCTAAAGCATGGTCACTGCTGCCCCCTGCAGGTCCCAGATGGCAACAGGCAAGGCATGACAAAGGCCCTCAATTCTCAGTGTCCAGAGCCTGTCTGACTGCCTCCAGCCCCATCAGGGAGAGTGGGGGCATCATCCAACATCCCATCTTCCTTAGGTTCCTTCCTCCAGGATGGCCTCTGGCTTTATGCCCAAGCTCGAAGGAGCTGTTGGGAAGTGATGTTGGAGCTGCTTCATATTCTGAACTCCCCAGCAGGAGAGGTCACTGACCTCCTTCTTGGCACCCTTAACCCTGGATCCCCGGCAGCATTTGCCAACAGCACCTTCTCACAATACAGATGGGAAAACTGAGGCCTAAGGAGTATCTCTCCCAAGTCAGAGACAGACCCCAGGCTCAGGGCCCCCAGCCCAGGACTCTGCCCATCTCCATTAAGTAGTTAGGCATCAGCATGTCTGCCAGAAGCCAAGAATGCATAACACGGAGGCTGCACACTGAAGCTGATGCAGCCACTTCCAGGCATCTGCACTGTCATCCACCCGGCTGTCAGTCTGGGGGTCAAAGGGAAAAGTCAAATCTGGCATCGATGACCTCATTTCTGATTATGATAGAATGACCATGGTGCCAAGCTCACCCCTCTAAAGCCTTGCAGTCGCCACCCTGGGGAGGCTACCAAGGCCTTGATGCCAAAGACTGACATCTTCAGAAATCCCTCCCCTTCCAGAAATTCTCCTTCCCATTCTTTCCATCTCTTCCTTAGCAACACCCTATCCAAAGTCTCTCTTCTCCAGTGGCCCCTCATGGAAGAGGCCACATGGTGAATGGCCAACAGTGTGGCCTCTAAGGACAGAGAGACCAAAGTTCAGGAATCAGCACTGCTACTTATTAGCTATGTGGCTTTAGACTAAAGACTAAATCTCTCTGAGCCCTGGCTTTCTCAGAGACGATGGCACCTACTACAAAGATGCTGTTCATTCAATAGATATAAGCAAGGCCCTCCTGTGCACAATGGTGGCCTGGGTCTCGGGAAGAAAAATAATCTACGTGATTATTTGGGAGACATTCCCATAAGTTCTCTTTAAAGAAATCAGCATGCAGTGGGCACATATTAAATAATCCTCCTATTTTCATGTCTCTACTCCTTCTTCACCAATTCTTCTTTAAATGTCCATCTGCCCCCATCACCCTGGCCTTCATTCTCAGCCCAGGCAGAACCCTCTGTGAGCTGTCACAGACACACTGTACCCTTGGGCTCTATCTCTACCTCTGCACTCTCTCCCGAAAACTAATGCCATACATTCATTTAGTCATTCAACAAATATTTATTTATTCAACTCCTATTATGTGCCAAGCACTGTCCTAGGCACTAAAAATACAGTTGTAAACAAAACAAACCAAAATTGTGTGCTCAAGGAACTTAAATAAATGTCTATACCTCCCACTGTTTGGTGACACACATACCTTCCCCCTGCCCTCACCCCCTACCCCAGAGATCTCACAGGTACCTCAAACTTAAGTCAACCCTTTGGAAAACAGTCTGGTAGTTTCTCAAAAGGTTAAACATGGAATTACCATTTGACCCAGCAATTCCAGTCACATACCCAAGAGAACCGAAAACATACGCCCATGCAAAAACTTGCGCATGAATGTTCACAGCATTATTCGTAAGAGGCGAAAGTGGAAACAACCCAAATGCCCATCAATTGATGAGTGGATAATCAAAATGTGGTATATCCATGCAATGGAATATTATCAACCATAAAAAGGCACGAAGTACTGATATATGCTACAACATGGATGGACCTTGCAAACAGTATGCTAAATGAAAGAAGCCAGACACGGAAGGCCACATATTATATAATTTTATTTATATGAAATAAAAATAGGCAAAGTAGAATGTGGGAGGGGAAACGGGGAGTGATTGCTAAAGAGTACAGGGTTTCTTTTGGAGTAATGAAAATGTCTGGAATTAGATAGTGGTAATGATAGCACAAATTTGTGATTCTACTAAAAACCACCTGATTGTACATTATTAAAGGGTGAATATTATGATGTGTGAATTATATCTCAAAACCAAAATTCAATGAGACCAACCTGAATGTCTCATCTCCCCACAGAATTCGTTCCTCAGGTGCCCTCATCATGAAGGATGGTGCAGGACTCACCCTGTCCTCTGGCTCAAAGCCTGGGCATCATCCTCCCACCCTCCCTCTCTTTCATACCCACATGCTTTGAATCCCTCCATTCTTCCTGCCTTCCCTTGGCTTTCTTCTAAGGACCCAGAGGTGTTTGTTGTGGGGAGGCTGAGAGGAGCTGAGGCAGATGTTGGGGCAGCTCCAGCATGGGGCTGGGAGGACAGGTTGTGTGGCTGGTGGGACACAAGGTGTAACATAGGCCACAGGCAGGAGTTGACCAGACCTGGCACGTGCTACGAGGCGGAGCAGCCTTAGGGAGGAACAGGACCAGACTCCAGGACTAAGTTCAGAGCTGGGGCCCATGCTGGGAGCTCAGATGTTAATCAACATGCAGTCTACCAACAAGACAGGCTGACGATTTGTGTTTTTAAATTTTTGAATGAGTCGCCAACCTTTGAAAACCAAGAGGTTCTTTTCACCCATAAATTTCAATTTCCCATGGCTCCTGAAAAGTCAGAAACTCTGGCCATGCTGGGCACATGTCCCACTGCAGCAATGATGGGCAGAAGCTGAGCAGTGGCCAAACCTGGTGTGGGGCTTGCCAGGATGGCGACCTCTGTGTTCCATGCTCACTGCTTCTGCCTTGGCCTCATCCTCTCCTCTCATCACAGCTGTCTTGCCTCTGGCCTCTACCCTGACCCCAGCACCTGTCTGCCCTGGACCTTCCCCTGCTTGACTCCCTTCCGTGTCTCCCATCCGCCTGCAAGAGACAGTCCATGCTCCTCAGCCCAGCATTCAGATGCCTGAGCTGAGGTAGGGCTCCTCCTCACCACTCACCTCCCTTGGCTCCTTTCATGCTCTCCGCCCCCGCCCCGACTCTTTTGCTGTTTTTTCCTGCCCCAGAACCTTTGATCACACTCTGCTTTCCAGCAGGAGCACCTGGACCAGGTGGGCATACAACTGGGTTCCACCAATTAGGGCATTCGTTTCTTGGCCACAATGATGGATTTTGAGATGGGCACATGACCCAACCCCGGCCAGTAAGAGTTGGACCCAGGACTTTTGCTGGAATGCTGGAGAAGAAAATGCTCTTGTGCCCCGGGGGTGACTAAGCTGGTAGGACGGCAGCCTGGAATTGCTGGGGGCCATTTGCCACTATGAGGACAGAGAGCCTACCTGAGAATGAAGCTTCCACAAGGGAAAACAGAGCCGAGAAGAGAAGATCCTGGCTAGCTTCACTGGAGAACCCAAATGGGACCCACCTAAACTCCTCGTCTCCTAGATAAGAGAGTTAGAACTTGCTCCTCCTGTGGAGGATCTAGTCAGGTCTAAAGCAGACATTGATTTTTCAGTTACATAAACCAATCAATATCCCCACCCTTTCTTTTAAATCCAGCTTGATCAGGTTTCTGTCACTAGGAACCAAACGAGTTCTAGCTAATTCATCCTTATCTTCTCGCTCTCCCTTTGCCCACCCTGTACACCATCTCTGTCCCATGGAGCCCAGCATGGCACTAGGCATGGAGAAGATGCTGTAGAAACGTCCCCAGATGTGTTTCCCAGGAATAATTTGTATCTGTTTGTATCCTTGGTTGGTGTGCTCCTAGATCCATTTGGAGATGTTAGAAGCACATAATTTTAAGAGCTCTGTGTAGGGGCAGAGGGAAGGGGTGACAATTGAAGTGAGAAGAGGCCCAGGGAGGACTGAGAGGAAACCCCCAGGCTTTCGTTCAAAGTTGGTTCCACCACTGTGTCACCTCCTCCAGGAAGACTTCCCAGGCTTCCCTCCCCAAGCGGCATTCACAAATCCCCTTAGGACTCTCCCGTGTGCTGCAGCTAGACTTTTTTCTTCCCTAGTCAGGGCCATGTCTCAGCACACCCCTTGTATGGGCCTGCTAGATCATGGAGATCAGCTCCACTACCTGCACACCTCTGGTCATCGAGAGCTCTAACTACAAATGAACCACCATAATTTGAGTCAAAATTGTCTTTGCTCAGCTGGGTAGGGCCTCAGGCCCACCTGCTCCCTCCACTTGCCCTGGATTCCCTGGAAGAGAGAGAACGCAGCCTCAGTTCCCCTCCTTGGAATCTGTTCAGGTTCTCAGCATCTCAGCCTCTCTGCCTCTGTAACTCTTTCTCTCCACGTCTAAGTCTCACAGCCTCTTTCTTCATCTGAGCGGCTGTACTCTAATGTCTGTCCCTCTGTCCAATTCCGTCTCTGTGGCTGCCCATCTCCCACCTGGGCTTTGCCTCTGTCTCTGGGGTCCAGGAGTCTGGCTCTTTTCCTATGCTCCACTCTGTTCCCCTGCAACACCCACAGGACCAGACATTCTGACAGACAGGGGCCTTGGAAAGAGGTGTGTGTGTGTGTGTGTGTAGGGGGTGATAGTTAAAGGAAGTACATCCTTCCTCAGGAAAAAGAAACTATTGAGCCTGGGTGAAACATATTTAGAGGGGTTCCCCCACCTCTGCTCCATGGAACAGTTAGAAAACTGAGGCTTGAAAGAGAAAGACCAAGTCTAGGCTGATTTCAGTCTGCAGCTGTGGGCACCTAGAGGACCAGTCAGTGCAGCTGTGGGCAGTGGCCAGACGAGGGCGCCAGAAACAACAAGGGTCACAACTCAAGCTGAGGCGCAAGCCTGGGCTTCAGGGTGGGGTTGGGAGGTGTTACAAGGGACCCTGCCTTCCGTCCTCTGATATGAGCAGTCAGTCCCCTTCCTTGCGCATGTTTTCCTTCCAGGGTATCAAGGCCGACTTTGGAGCCACACAGCTGGACTGAAATCCTGGTTCAGCCTCTTTCTAGCTGTGAGATCCAGGCTACATCACTCAGTATTTCTGACCCTCACTAACGCGGAGGAGGCCACGACCATTTGGAAACTGAGTAGACTATCTTGAGAAGGAGGGAAGGGAAGGAAGGAGGTAGTGAGGCCCCCATCACTGGAGGCATACATTCAGGACTATATGTCGGCTTAGAGCATAAGCTGCAGCTGGGGGTGGGACGAAAGGACAGACCCTTTCCCTTTGACAGTCTGTGACAAACACAGAAGAGGGCCCTGGCTCTGCTCTTAGTGCTGACGCAAAAGCAGACGTAGGGAGCCATAAGGGCCACAGTGCAAACAACATTCTCCCAGCCTCTCCAGGTGCGGGGTGGGCAAGCAACCTCTTCCCTAGAGGGTCAGGAGAACCACTAATGGTGGACTTTTAGGCCCATCCTGTGCCTGGCATCACAGCATCAGTGCCCCATTAGAGACGTTATCAGAGCCCTTGTGAGGTGGGAAAGGAGAAGGCAGAGCCAAGGCCCCAGGGGCCGGGTGGCCTCAGTTCTAACCAGGACTTGCAGCTGACCTCTCTGAGCCTCAGTTTCCCTCACAAGCTCAAATGACATTGCAGATATGTAATTGGTTTTTGAATAGGAGGGAGGTAGAGGCTGAAAAGTATCAGCGAGCTGGATCCTGGCCCTGGCTCCACCTGAGTAGCTCTGAGGTCTTGGAGGCCAGGCTGTTTCGGATGCCAGAGGCCCTGGGGGAACCAGAACTCTGTTCAGCCTTCCTGAGCCCCAGTCAGCAGTTCTGGTTTTGTCCTACAGCAAAAATAAGGACATGGAGACCAGAGGGGCAGGGCCCTCAGAATCACACGTAAATTCAGTGGCCTTGGGGCCTCCAGGAGCCCTTTGCAGAGTCACTTGTTAGTGGATACGGTGCTCCCCCTCACACACACACAGGGGCACATGCATCAGGCACCCAGCCACCTCAGTCATAGGGCATGCGCATGTGGGCACTCAGCCCCAGGGACACACCCAGCAGCCACACCTATTGGGCACCCAGACCCATGAGGGCACATATACCCACGCAGAGCTCTAGGTATGGCGCACATACATCCGCACATCACACACACATGTGTACTGACACAAGCACACAAGTGTGCAAAACCCTGCCCAGCCTGTCTTGGCTCCCAGGACAGCCAGACTGCTTCAGCCCCTGCACTCCTGGGACAACAGGACAGGTCCCAAGATGCCCAGAAAAGAGATGTCATCCCTGAAACCAGAATGACCCCCAACCTATGCCCGACATGTTCCCATTAAGGCACCAAGTATTCCAAATTTGAGGGTTTCTCGGCTCTGGGGGTCTCAAATATCCTGAGATGCTTCTCATTTAGGCAGGCAGGTGGGAGCAGGGCCTGTCAGATGGGGTATATCTCTTAGTATGGGCCTGGCTTGGCTGGGAAGTCAGAGGCAGAGGGACTCTGGCTGTGGCTCACTGGGGCCCTGGCCTCTGAAGCCACTCGCCACCTGAGGGAACCCTTAACAGTGAGTCAGTTCCTTAGAACCCAGCGGCTTTGCCTCTTGTTTGCCAATGACCCAGGGCAGGGCTTGCCCTTTCTGCCTCAGTGTTCCTATCTTGACAGTGAGTTAGCGGCTTCCATTCCTTCTCAACAGCACCATGGGTTGTCAGGAAGGATGACCACCAATGGAGAGAAAGAGGGGCTCCCTGGGGTGTTGGGGTACATCCCAGAGCCTGGAGGACAGGCCCAGGTTGGAGGCTGGTATAAGAGGGTAGCAGGGAGGGGCCCAGACTCACCCAACAACGTAGACCAGAACCACGAGCTGGATCAGGCGGAAGATGACGCCCACCTTCTTGTTGCGCACGAGTACCATTCGGGGAGTGTCATACTCAAAGAAGAAGGCGGTCAGCTCATCCTGGAGCCGCCGAGCCATCGTGGACCAGGCTGAGAGCCAAGAGCTGAGCCCCTGCACAGCTCTTGCTCTCTAGCTGAGCCAGACGCCAACACCCACGTCTACAGCAGAGCTTCTAGGGGCTTCCCAGCCCCTTACGAAGGTCAGGGCAGGGCAGGTGGGACCAGAGGTCAGGAGTCAGAGGTCAGTTGGAGGTGCTTGGGTTAGAAGGGAGAATCTTTGGGTGATCAGAGCAGCTCTTGGCCCCTGGCAGGCAATGAACTGTAGGCCAGCCGTGCCTGTGGACAAATAAATTCCCAAAGATAGATGGGGGTGGGGCTGGTAGGGCCACCCAGGCCCAGCCCCTCTGTCCCTCCTGGCTCCGCCTGGGCCCTGCTGGGCCTCCGGAAACAGAAACTGTTGGCAGGAAACCACCGGCCACCCGTCACAAGGCAAAGATAAAGCTGTCAGCCCCCCACAAACCTGGCAGAACAGGGCTGGGGGCTTGGGCCAGGGCCTGGGTGGAGTGGCCTCAGGCTGGAGCCTTCCTCAAACCAGGGACCCATCCCATATCCAAACATCCTCCCCACCCTACCTCTGCCCTAGATGTGGAGCTCAGCCCCTGGGGGCCTCCAGCCAGAAGGGCGGAAGAAGGAGGGCTGCTCCTGGTCCAGCTGCCTGTCACTTCCCAACCTGTGGCAGGAGCCCCCACTCCTGCTCTTGTAGTCCACCTTCCATCCACCTGCTCCCTGAGTTCAAGCCTGGCCTGTGCAAAATCAGCCTCAGCATCAGGCTAGCATCTCCGTTTCCTGACCTCGCCTCCCCCACCATCTGTCCTGTCCAAGTCACACCTCTACCTCTCTGAAAAGAGAAGAGGGAGTCAGGTGCCCAGACAAGGCAAGGGCCACATCTCTAACACATTACCATCGGGCTCCTTGAGACACAGCTGGGAAAAGCTGACATCAGACGGCCTCGTTTACCATCCCTGGCTCTGCCACTTGCTTCCTGTGGGGAGAACAGGGTAAGCCGCCTGTTCTCCCTGTGAAATGGGGAGGATAATGGGATTTTCTTCATAGGTAGAGGCCTCGGGAGGAAGATGTCCTGACAACACTGATGACAGAGAACTTGAGGCCACTATTGAGCTTGGGATACAGCCCCTCTGTAGCCCCTGCCCTCAACCCCAATCCAAGCCCTAAATGCAGGGATCCCCGGGGTTAGGGTGGGGTGGGGGTCCCTGCTAGTTCTCAGAGCTCTTAGAGCTGGAAGCCTCCCTCAATCCCCTGCCTCTTTTTGCACATGAAGAAAGTGGATCTCAGAGAGAAGAAATTAGTTGCCCAAGCTCACCCCAGGCCATACCGAAGGCCCCTGCTTGAAGCAGGAAGGCTGCCCTAGCCAGCCCTCAACCAGGCTGGGTGTCCTCAGGGCTCCCTATGAAGACAGGAGGTAAAGCTGAGTGTTCTCAAAGACCCCCACTTTCCCCCAGTTCACGTTGCTCCACCTTGAAGGCTGATAGGAGTCTTCTTCCTGGCAGGCCTTTAGCTGGGAAATTGCTCTGGGCAGGGAGCCAGGCCCCAGGCTGGGAACCCCGGCTGCCTGTCCGAGCTGAGCTTCTTTCTGAACAGCAAAGGATCCCACAAGGGGCAGACCCTCCTCTATCCAGCACCCCAGGCCAAACCCCCTGAACAATCCCCCAAACAGATCAGCCTCACCCCACGAGGAGTTCCTGCCAATCTTAAGCTCAATGGCCTGTCTGACGCCACCTTCAAGGGGGCCGGTGAGAACCACATCCTGGGCTTTTCTAAGAAAAAATCCAGAGATGCTGGGAGCCAGAACTGTGGTGGCCACATTCCTTTTGCCCAGTCTTGTCCCCAGACAAAAGGGCCTGTCTCCTTCCCAGTCGACCCCATGCCCCATGGCACTTGGACTAGCAGGCCTCAGAACATGAACTGCTTGCAGATGCTGACACTATGTCTGAGCCATCTCTGTGTCCCACCTCCCCCACACTTCCCCGACAGGCACACCACATTCAGGAGAGCAGCAGGTGCTAAATGAGGGCAGGAGTGAGGAGAAGGGGAGGGAGGGGAGGAAGTCAGGCAGTCAGTCTCTAATCTGTGTCTGTCCCTTCCATATCATCACCATGACCTCTTCCTTCTCCTCCTCCAAGGGGCTAGGCTTGCCGACAGACAGATGGGCTGATAGAGGGCCTCCCCTGTCTGACTAAATTTAGTAGCTCTGTGGAGCATGGAGGGGGTCTGTGCCCATCCTGGAGGCCAGCCCAGGCCCTCGAGGGGATTGGCACAGGTTCCAGTGGGTCTCCTTAGCCACTCAGACTTGCTTCGGGTACACACATGTGCTCCTGTTACGGCCTCAGTTCTGACCCTGACACTCGGAGAATAGACTGGCCAGGAGGACTATCTTTTTTGGGGTTATCATCACACCCAAAGCGTGCCCAAAAGGAAAAGAAACAAAAGCAATTACAGTCCTCTTCCCAAATTTCTTTTCTTGCTAATAACTCCACAAGGGTAAGACAGGCAACTGATAGGGTCAATGTCTCTTTCGCTAGTTCTAAGATGCATCTTGTCATCTGAGGCCTGTGTTTTCCTGCCCCTGGCCCCAATTCCAGAATCCCAGGGACAGATACCTATACTTGTTCAAAGCATTGTGGGGAGCAGGAGTGGCCAGGGCAGGGACCAGAGTTTACAGGGACACAGGGCTTTCACACTCAGCAAGTTTTCTTTATAACAGCCCTGTGAGGTAGGTGCTAGAATCCCCATTTTACAGATAAAGAAACTGAGGCTCTGGAAGTTGAGTGCCTTGCCCAAGGTCACACAGAGAATCTGCTAGTGGCCGGAAAAGAGGCTCCCCAAAGTCTGAGAGCTTGGCCCAGAGCCCACCCCAAGACTCCGGCACTTGAATGTCGCCAAACCTGCCTTATAAGCCCAAAGACCGGGTGGCCGGCTTCGGTACTGGGCCGGGCCTTGTAGGGAGACAAGGCAGTGCTGCCAAGCGCTCGGCCCCAGGACAGCCTCCTCTGTCTGGCTAAATTTAGTGGCTCTGTGGAGTGTGGAGGGGGCCTGTGCCCATCCTGGAGGCCAGCCCAGGCCCTCAAGGAGGTCGACACAGACTCCGTGGGTCTCCTTAGCCACTCAGAGTTCCAAGGTTGCAAGAGCCACACCTCTGCCTGCAGAGTTCAGTCCTACCCACCTACCCTCACTCCCACTCCCCACCTTCTGTGCCTCCCTTGGCGTCCCAGGGACTCACTCAATGCCACACAGCCCCTCAGATACCAGTTAGGTCCTGGGCCAGCCTAACAGAGTCTGTCTACGGGAGGCTGGGGAGTAGACATCCAAGGTGTGGCCACAACAGTGGTCCCCAGTGTTGGCTTCTCCCCATTGCCTGCCTCTTGTACTGCTCCTCTGGCCTCTTTTATTACCCCATGATGTGCCAGGACTGGCTGGAGCCCCTCCTCAAAAGTATCTGAGGCATCACCTCGCCCCGGTTCTCCTCCTCCTTTAGGGCTGTTTCCTTTGGGTCCCCAGCTTCATGCTTCCCTTGGAATGTGGGGACTCCTTAGTGGCTTAGGTCCCCACCCCTCGAACACTTAGCACCCCTTAAAAGGCTCATTTCCTCCTGACACCTCTACACCCACATAGCAGCTGTGTGCCCACCCACCTCCCCTGACTCCTTTTTTTCTTCTAAATCAAACTATATTGAGGTATAATTTACATACGATAAAGTGTACGCATTTTAGGTACAGTTTGATGAGTTTTGACAAATGTATGTAACTACCCCCCTGAATTCATCACCCTAGAATATTCCATCCTGCCTCTTTGCCGTCAATCTTTCTCCAATCCCCAGTCCCGGCAATCTGCTTTTGTTGCTTCGAATTTGTTTTGCCTTTTCTAGAACTTCACGGAGGTGGAATCGCACAATATGAACTCTCTTTGTGTCTGGCTTTTTCAACTCAGCACCAGGGTTTTAAGCATCATCCATGCTGCTGCATATATGGGCATGTTCCTTTTTATTGCGGAGAATTCTGTTGTACGAACACACCGCTGTTTCTTCGTCCTTCCCCCGTTAATGGACATTTGGGCTGTTTCCATTTGGGACTATAATGAAGAAAGCTGCTATGCACACTTGGGTTCAGATCTGTGTGAACATTATGTCTTCATTTTGTTTTTGACTCTCCATTTCCCCCAAAGTGACCTGAACGGGATTCTCCTTACCTCCTAAGGGATGTAGCATGGGGGCATGGGGAGCACAAAGTCCTGAGGGGACAAGGGGAGGCCATGGGTGTTTTGGCAGCTGTCACCCCTGAGCCAGTGGGAAGTGTGCCGGGGCTTGCCCTGGAATTCCCTCCTGCCCCTGGCAAGCGGCAGTGAGGTGGGAAACCTCTGTTTTCCTTGGCCGCTCCATCTTGGCCTGCCGGGCTCCATGCTGTGGGCTGGACAAGGCTGGATTCAAGCAGGCCTGGCTGTGAGCCTCAGCAACTGCTGGGAGAGCGGGAGCCAGCCAGCTCACCTCCTACACAAGCCCCCTGGGCCCATGCTAGCTCCGTGTCCTGCCTATCCACCATGAGGCCAGCCAGATGGCCAGACTCTCAGAGGGCCTTGAAACCTCACCTGTGAGATGGAGGCCTTAACCCTGCCCGGCCCACCTCATGGAGCTGGGTGAGTATCCTGGAGATGAGGAGGATGACAAGGTTTTTGTGGTCTTAAAGGTCTTGTAGAAGGGAGAACCATTCTGCCCCAGTCCTGGCTCCTCTGTAAACTATGTGTCAAATCCTGCCCTCCACCCCCTACCCCAACTAAACCCTGGGAGCTCTTAAGGGTGGGCCATGTCTCCTCCAGTCATATCTGGCTTCATGGACGTGTGACCTGTGCAGTCAAGCAGGGCCCTCCCTGTACTCAGAAAGGCCATGTTTGGCTTAATGCTCTGCTGTTTCTGTTATAAAATTCTTAATTTTAGACAAGGGGCTCCACATTTTCATTTTGCACTGAGCCCTGCAAACTATGTGGTCAGTCCTGCCCCTGTGGGCAAGGCCTTCACCCCCTTCCCAAGGCGGTTGGTTAGAGTATTACATATAGAACCTTCACAAGTCTTCACTCCAGAGGGTAGAGACAGGAGGGGGTGGGGTGGGACATGGCTATTTCCTTCCCAGATCCCCCGCTCCCAGGGGGTAGGGTCACCTGGGAAAGTCAGGAGTTAATCTCAAGCAGCCTGGCAAAAGCTTCTGGACAGTGTGAGCTGAGGGAAGCCTTGGGAAGATACATTTGAGCTGGACCTGGAAGGCCAAGAAGTGGACAGTATCCGAGTTTGAAGAGAAGGAAATAAAGCAGGAAAGAAACCCCAGGGAGATACAGCACTCACAGAACAGCCAGGGCTGGGGACCCCTCTATGGAGTACAAGGGGCCCCTGATATTCAGGCTGCAGGCCCAGCACTGCCCCAGGCCAAGTCATGAGGCCCTCCCAGGGTGTTTCCTCAGCCGTGACAAGTGAATTGTAATATGTATAAAGGCCTTTGAACACACGCATAAACTGTCCAGTGCTGTCCCTGGGAGGCACAGGCAGTGGTGCCTCTGCCATTTAGACGTGGCTCAGGAAGTCAGTGCCTCTCCTGCATTTGGTATCGGAGGAAGACAATCTTTGGCTGGCGATGTGAGAACTTCAGACTTTTGCTCGCATTTCCTGGGGGAGGGGTGAGTACCCCAGGTAAACACCAAATGGGCAGAAAAAAAAATCCAGCAACACAGACACTGACAGTCCTCCGGTGCCCCAGGCACTCAACCTTTATTTCTCTACCAAACTGTATGTCAGCAGATGGGTACAGGGTCCTGCCCCACCCCTCCCACTAAGATCTCCCTTCCCCCAGCAGGAAAGCAGCAGAAAATGTCTGCTCGCACCAGGAAGACCCAGCCCAACTCCGTTTCTCTCACAGCCCCTCCAGAACCCGCGAGCCAGAGCAGGGAGCAAGGGTGTGCGAAGGAGCCACAGGCCCTGGAGCCCATTTGTCTGTAAGGTAGACTGAGGGGGCTTTGATTCTGGGAACTAGGACAGGGATGTGAGTCTTGATTTACATATAAAATAATCACTTTGTATACTCTGTAGGAAGGGCAAGGACACATAGTCATTTACTCACTGCTTTCTTCTACAACTAATTTTTGCCAAAGGGGCAAAAGCTGAGTTAAGAGAACATTTCTGTCCATCAAATGCTTTTTTCCAATCGTCTGACATGATCCATATGGACACACATTCCTCCAGCAAGGAGGGAGGAAGGCCCCTTACGTAACTAGCCATTCTGAGTGACATCCTTTCAGCTCATGGGTGTGTGGGGCTGGGGGCAAAGAGTGAGGCCGAGTCCAGGGACTCAGAATCACCCAGCCATGTAGACCTCGAGATGGTTAAGCGTGGGGTTGGGGTGGTAGGACACAGTGGTCCAAAACCCAAGGATGTCTATGGTTTCAGGTGCCAGACACACAGAGGGCCTATCTGGCCCCTGCTCAGCATACCAGGCAGCATCGAGAGGGCATGCCTTCTTTGCTTAGGGCAGGAAAACTGAGTCTAGAAGTGAACCGAGCCGAGGCAGGCTAGTCTAGAAGTGAAAGAGAGTCCTTGCTCGGTCCCCTCCCCCATTCCTGTGTCCCTCTCTCTGACCTTTCAACTCCCTACATATATAAACAGAAAGAGGCTCAAGTCCTCATGAGCCAACTCTGTGGAAGCAGAGGAGCGGAGGGGGGCTACCCACACTTGCTGTGCACAGCTGGACCCAGATGTCCCGGATGTCCCCCTTCCCACCCCCAGCTGACCAGGCCCCAGACCAGGCTCTGAGATTAGTGGCGAGAGTGGTCTCCAGGCATCCTCCATCAGCACAGAGGCTCTGGTTACCAAATAATACCCAGTCTCCAAGCAAGCGGGAGCAGGCTCCAGAATGTGCTCATGGATTTGGGTGTGTAGGGCTCTGTAACTCTAGATCGGCTGCCAACTTTGGCTTCTGGGCAGGCCCCTCCCAGGCCAGAAATTCAGGGTTGAACTTCCCAGGAGAGCCCGAGACATGAAGCACAGAGCCCCCAGGCAGATGGAAGTGGGGATAGCGAACCCGGGACTGGGTCTGGGGTGGCCAATCCAGACTCGGTAAGGCCCGGCGAGCAAGCAGGTGAGCATGGTAGCAGGGCAGGGAGTGGGGCAAACGCTTGGGCACCATCAGCCCGAGGTACACACTGGAGACTCCACTCAGCTCTGAGCACTCACTTCTGGTCCTTTTCCTCTGGAAGAAAAACACGAGGGTATGTTATGGTGTATGAGAGCACACATCCAGGCTGGTTCCTTCTGGCCCTTCCAGTCTCCATTTTCCCAGGACAATCCCACTTTGCCATGACAACACTCAGTCGATCCCCAGCCCCTCTGCATCTCCTGAGCTGCAGCCCCATGTGTCTAGCTGCTGCCCAGACACATTCTCCCGGGTGTCCCCTGGGCCTCCTGCACTTCACTGCTTCCCTCAAGCCCCTAGCCTACCCCAATGCAGTCTCCTCATGTTTTTAGTTTGAAGAACCACCACCCAGCATCACAAGGTCCAGAAACCATGGCATGTGCGACATCTCCATCCCATATACCCAGGCCTACTGATTTCACCACCTACATCTCATGAACTCGTCTCTTTCTCCACTGCCCACGCAGGGCTCAAGGCCTCTGAGCCCTGCCCTCGGCTTCCATCTTACCTTACCATTACCCTCCTGCCCCTGGCATCACACTACAAATCCAGCCCATCATCTCCTTTGATGGTTCCCACTGCCCTCAGAATAAAGTGTAAGCCCTCCTGTATCCTGGACCTTCCTAGATCTGTCCCTACTCAGCCTCTTCAGGGTTTTCCTCCCCTCAGCCCAGCTCGCAGGCCTCTGACAGCTGCTCAGCCACACCTGGGGAGAGCCAGGAGGTGGGGCAAGAGGATCCCCCCAACCCCCTGGGGCTGACCCAGCATCCACAGTTCTCCCCAGGACACATCCCTCATAAATCACAGGGAAACCACGAGCATCAGGACTCAGGAAAACTTCCCTAAAAGGGCACCAGACTGGCTTGGGAACATAACAGGGTCCTGTCTCTCACCCCTGCTCCGTCTGGTTAGGAGGCCCCAGGGACTACAGCTGTACAGGGCAGAGCTGTCTGGGCTCTCAGGGACTGCAGGGCACCTCCCTTTAAAGCCACACCTCCCTGGGATCATGGTCAACATCTCAGGTTAATGGTGGAGGTGGAGGTGGAGGTGGAGGTGGGACCAGCTCTCCCCAGGCTGGGACTCAGTAGCTCCTCTCCTGACCAACTCAACGCAGCTCACCAGCCTCCTCGCCTTTAGTCACACCCCATCCTGTCTGTCCTCCATGGTCACCCAAGACCCTCTTATACTTCCACCCTTCTGTGGCTCCCATACCCTGAGGATAATGTCCAGGATCCTTATCTTGGTATTTGAGGCTCTTGCTTCCCCTCTCTACCCTGCACTCCAAGCCCCAGCCCCACTAGAGATGCCAAGCCATGCTCACCTAGCCCCTCCTTCTCCATGAGGCTCCTTCTCCCCTCTCAAACCTCTGCTCAAACCCCACCTTTTCTAGAAACCACCCCTAACCCAGCCCCAGCCCTTCTAATCTGCCATATCTTGCTAGGAGCTACTCCCCGCACCCAGGCCCGGGCCCCTCCACTGTCCAGCAGCCAGTGCTGGACGGTGTCCAAGACACAGGCTTTCCCTGCTGGCCGAGAAATTTTCCCACTTTTAAGTTTTCTCAAGAAAATATGCTGGACCCTCCACGCTCCCCCCGCCCGCTCCCCCCCGCCACCACCTTGGCAGTTGTGGCCACTTAGGGAAGGCTCTTGAGGAAGACAGAGAAGCTGCCCCGGCCGCCCATGTCCCCAGAGGTCTGGCTTCACAGGTGAGTCAGTGTGGTTGAGGGTGGCCAGGCGATCTCCTGGTAGACCACCCCTGTGCTCCGGCCAGAGCTGGGGATGCCTTGGGCTACTATGGATGGAGTTTCAGGCAACAGATCCATGTCCCTGTCTTCACCTCCCCAGGAGTGTCCACAGAGGATAGGTAAGAAAGAGCCACAAAGGGGGGTCAGAATGCCTTATCTGGCTCCCCCTACCCTACCCTGGGCCCCAGTTGGCCTTGCTTTGGTTGAACAACCCCCTCATGAGCCCCTCACTCCCATATGCCAGGTTTCCCTCTGGACAGACCTGTGGTGGGCCAACTTCTCCAAAGAGAGTGAGGAGAACAACTTGTTTCAGCCTTTATAATAAGAGAAAATATTTGCGGCACCCAGGAGGGCTGGCCAGCCTGGGAGATGGGGGCCGATTGATTGCCTTGGCCCCTGTGGAATGATAGGCACGGGATCTATTTATAGCCCCCAGGCACCCTCCCCTGGAGCTGAGATACATTCCTGCCAGAGGTGGCTCTGAGGGACCCAGCTGCCCCAGCACAGGCCTCAGCCATTGCTGGGCCTAACCTGGGACTTTGTAGCGGCCTTGCCAGGGCTCCAACTCCCAGGAACCAGTTTCTCACCCCTGTTTCCTCCCTCTCTGGGCAGCTCTGACAATGATAAAGATGCTGCAGGGCAGAATCACCCACTCTCTGAGGGCCCCTGAAGAAGGCAGGCAGATGGATGCCATGACCCAGGCTGCTCCTCTACACACCGGCCCCCTCCCCAACCCCTGCCATTCTGTTCTCAATTCTGGGTTAAGGCAGACCCAGAGCTGTGAACACAGAAACGGAGACTCCCCCGCACACTCCACGCACCCACAAGATGACACCAATGAGGCCAACCCGGTGTGGTCTGGGGTCTGGGAAGTGGTCAGTGGCTGCCTACTCCATGCCTGGGAGACTGTCCTGAAAATGCCTGGATAAAGACAGGCCAGATTCACAGACGTCAGAAGCCTGGGAGGTCCGGGCCCAGGGAGGGCACAGTGAGCCTAGCCATGCAAGGTTGGTGGCAGTGAGGAGGGTGAGGCAGCATGGCCCTGAGCAGTGCTCCTGCTGGCTGACCAGTGAGTCCAGGGCCCTGGCCCCTATAGACACCTCAGGTCACAGCTACCAGAGCCCCTTAAGGTCCTCCACTTGGTGACCCAAGAGCACCTCGCCCCACACAGTCAGGGAGAACGACACTGGCACCGGCCCTCTGTAGCCTGACAGCAGAGGTGGGCAGGGCAGGAGGGGTTGGGGCCTCCCACTCACCATCTATGTGGTTCCGGGACAGGTACTTGAGAGCCTCATCAAGCAGGATGACAGGCAGAGATATCTGGAGCACCACTACCCACTGGTGCCCACTCAGCGGGGTCACTTGGAAAATGAGCTGGAGGGGGAAGGTTTGGTTAAAGGAAGGACTGCCCAGTGCCCTGCAATTTACTTGCTTCATCACTCAAGCTACAACGGACTCTTCGTGAGCGTGTCCGAGATGCCCCTGGAGGTCCCACCTCCAGATCTTTATCCACCCCACTTCCTCTGCCTGAAGTACTCTCCCCAGCCCTCACTCACAGGACCGAATCCCATTGGTCCTGGTGGGAGGCGGGAGGGATTCCGCACCGGGAAAAAGTGGAGTCATTCCTCCTGCCCCAGCCTAGGGAGATTCCCCACCTCTTCTGCTCCCCAAGTCTGGGGACTCCTGAGGTGGGGACACATCTGGAGGATGGTGGCTGCCCAGGGTCCAAGCACAGGGTACATGTAGTGAGCACCTCTGAACCTCCCCACCCCCACCCCCACCGGGATCCTCCAGGGGTTCTCATTTCAAAGGGGCCCGGAAAGGCCCAGCAACTAGCCCTGGGATTTATGTCAGAGGATGATTTGGATCCTGTCACCCCAGGAGCCAGGGAAGGGGAGTAGGGCAGGAGGGTGACTCACGGGCAGGGGCGGCACCAGCAGGATGAGGAAGTGCAGAGCCATGGACATGGCCACAGCTGCCAGCAGCCAGGGGTTCAGCCAGGGCGGCATCCGCAGCAGCGACTGGTTCTCCGAGACGCTGCAAGGACACAGGGCACTCACCGAGGGCCAGGACGCATACAGGCCCTGCTGTGGGTACTCATCCGCCCTCCATGTGGAGGTGCAGGCCTGAGCCTCAGCATTTCCCTAATTGGATCGAAGTGCTAGAGCACTTCTGGGAGGCTACCACAGCCAGGAGGGGTGTCACAGCTGCCCGCTCAGCCCCCAGGGGCCTGTCCTGTCCCATTTCCCCATTTCTCTTTCTCTCAGGCCCAATCCTGGTCCCTATATTTCTCAGACCCCAATCTTGGCCCCCATTGTTCCCTGGATCCCAATTCTGGCCCTATGGACTGTCAGATCCCAATCTTGGACCTCCTGACCCTCAGACCCCAATCCTAGACATCTCTAACCTGATTCTTAGCCCCCTCACCCTCTGCTCCCAGTGCCTCTGCCCAGCCCACCTGTTGAGGGCGTTGCACATTTCAATGGTCACCAACACAGACAAGGCCATGGTTGTGGGAAAGCGTGACTCGAAAACCTCACAATCAATGCCGGCGAAGAGTGGGTTGTCCTCAGAGCACTTCAGGAAGTTCCTCTGCGGGCACCGTGGTGGGGTTGGGTGGGGTCGCAGAGAACAGCAGTCAGAGGAGGGGCCGGTGTATGGGAAGAGGGAAGCCTCACCATACCTGTGGCCCACATATGAGGACTCAATACACAACCAGTGAGCTGTGAGAGGGGTGCTACCCCAGGATGGGGGCAGATGGCCTGCACTGTGCCAGGGAGAAGGTCAGACTGTTCTGGGGCAGGGGTACCGTGGGACAGAGGGAGAGCAGCTGGCATCAGACTGGGGAGGATAGGAGGGGGCCCTGGGATCAGGGAGAGGGTCCAAGATTTTCCCTGAAAGTGCACAGGGGTGAGTGGGTAGGCTGAGTATTGGAGGTGCAGGAGTGGAAATGATTGAGACCACTAAATAAGTAAATGCATGTGAAACCAATCATGAAATTATGCTTGAAATAGAATTCACCTTTGATGGGTAGAAGATGAAGGCTACACGTGTTCCATTCACCATTGTTAAATTAAATTCCATTCATACCGCCTTCAACTTCTGCATTGAAATCAAACTCTGCAGGCTTGTCTTTTGCTTATGACATAAACTAATGAAATGCCACGTGCAGGCTTACTACAGTTTCTTAGTAATTAACAAGAATCTCTCAGAACTAGATAAGAAAGTGGCTCTCAGAACTGAATAAGAAAGTGGTTCTCATCCCTCAAGCCCCAGGGGAAATTTCTTCCTGCTCCTAAATCTCGCTCACAGAATCTTGCTGTGACAAGATGTTGAACTGAGGCCATGTCTGAGAACTTCTGTCTTGTTCTCTTCTGCAACACGGGATGAATGTGAACACGCATAACCGCTAAACAGCTCTGTTCTCCTGGAACATAAATCTGTCCTCAGGAGTCTCATCTGAACTCAGAGATCTTTTAAGCTAAGGGTATTTCTAAACTGAGTCTACATGCTGTGAAATAACCCTCAAAGAGAAACCTATAAAACAACCAGCTGTCTTTCTGCCCAGTAAATACCTCCGTTTTCCCACACTGCGTAAATCGGGGTAAGGTGACTGTTGGGCAGAAGGGGCTGCTAGCACTTTCCCCTTCTCTCTCATGCAGGATGAAAAATTATAAACTACGGCTTAGCTAGATTTCTTATTTATTTATTATTTATGCCTACAGCACTGGTCTTCCTGGGTGGTCCCCCATCCAAGTACTAACAGCAGGCCCAACCCTGCTTAGCTTCCGAGATGTGACATCAGGTTTATTCAGGGTGGCATGGCCGTAGACCACGGACCATGGCTTCACTGGGGCATGAACCCAGGACCTTCTGTGTGTAAAGCAGATGTGCTAACCGCTACACTATGGAACCATGTCCTAGATTTCTTTCAACAAAAAAATGGAGAATCTTATTTAAATCAACAGTGGGATTTTCTCCAAAAACCAAATTCTAGGATTTGGGATAAGTACACATCTTTTTACTTGGCAATGATCATAGAGCAGAGAAAATGTTCTAAACTGAACCCACCTAGTGGCCAAGAAGACCAAATGCTCCTGTTAGTAGTGTCCTTACCATCAGGCCCTGCCTCCCAGATCCTAAATGGCCTATGTACACATGTACACACACACACACAGTGTACACATTTCCCACTCGAGCATGTGAATGCTTACATCCTTATGCATGTGCACAGGGAAGAAATCTGAACAGGATCACGTCAAGATGTTTCAATAGATCTGTTGCTCTTGCCATTAATACCCTGCCTGGTTCAGACCCTCTGGGTTTTACCAGTGAGCACCTGCCACATTATATCCCAGGTCATGGGTCACAGTGTGGCCTCCTGAACTTATTAGAAAGTGCTCAGAGCTGGAACTTCTGCTCCTGGGTTCATCATGAGTCCCTGTGGAAGTGGGAGCCTGCTTCTTTGGGTAAATCCAGTACTCTGCCTATACCTTCCCTTTGCCTCCCTGGCTATTTCCTATTTACCTTATCCTATAAGGCCCCTCTGGGTTCAATGAACTTAACCAACACTCACATAGCTTTTGTTATGTGCCAGGTGTTAGTCTAAGCACTTTACAAGTACTGACTCAGTTAATTCTCAATAACTCTGAGGTAGGGACTGTTACCCATTTTACAGATGAGGAAACCAAGAGAGAGAGGTTAAATAGCCTGTCTAAAGTCAGACAGCTAAAGCGTGGTAGAACTAGGGTGTGAACCTGCAGTCTGGATCCAGGCTCCAGGCTCTGTGCTCTTAACCACTCTGCTGCCTTCTGGCAACTTATTCCAGGAACCATGGGTTATGGGATCCTCCTTGAATCTCAAGACTTTTTTCTGCTGAAGAACTTCTCACCTTGAAATGTGACTGCCCATATCCATGGCTCTACCCCACCAGACTGTAAGCTCTTTGCAGAGACTCTGCCTGCTCCATCACTGCCGTAGCCCTAGTAATTTGTGCATGGCACACAGTCAGTGCCTAATAGCTGATACTTGACCAAGCAGATAAATGAAAAATTGGGTGACCTGACAACTGTTGGGAAGGTGGCACCAAGGGGACTGTGGACTGATTGGCAGTGGGTGTGGGATGTGTGCCTGGCACGACCCTCAGGTGTTTGGCTTGGGTAACAGGCAGTAAAACTGAGATGGGGATGGAGGAGAGAAGTTACTTAGGGAAAAGATGATTTTGGATTTGGTGAGTGCAATGGGCCTGTGTGACATCCCAGAGGAGGTAGCCAGCTGGATAAATGGAGCTGGGCTCAGAAGAAAGGTTGGAGGTGGGGATAGGTCCTTAAGAGATTTGGGATCCGCAATATAAAAAATGGCAACAGAGACAGGGCTGGAAGAAGACAGCTGCAGGATGGTCAGCACAGCCCCATCTCCACCCTGCTGCTACCGCTGGCACTACATGAGCAGAGGTGCCTGAGGCTGGCGGGAGCCTTTGGCCAAGGGCTGGGGGCACCGACCTCTGGGATGAGAACTGAGCCCATGCTCTGCACTGCTGTCAGAAGGGGGAGGGCTGGAGGGTGCCAGGAAAGCATCCCCTTGGCCCCTGGGCTGCCTTGACCTAGATGTGAATGCTGCAGAATCCACGAAATCTCAGCCTTCCAAGGGAAGACAACCAGTGATGGTAACCCAGCCCTCACACTGCCCTCAGGGTGGTCCCCCAACACTCTCAGGGATGGAGCAGGAAGTCAGGGTGCCTCCCTGGAGCTCTTCTATCTACAAGAAAGTAGCAAAGGCAGGCCCACTCAGAGAAAGAAAATTCTGCATCTCTGCATCTCTAGGCTTTAAATGAGAAACCTACAGCTGGCTTTGCCAAAACCACCGCGAAAGCTCTTTTAAGCAAAGAAGGTGCATTGGCTGGCTGCTCAGACAGAGACAGGCTGACAGATAGCGTCTGAGGGGTCTCTTTGCTTGCTTCTAGAGATGTGCTGAGCGAGGACAGTCCCATGGTGGACACTTGTCAGCCAGGTGACTTCAAAAGGTCAGTTGGTTTATGGGGATGGGGAGAGCCTGGCAGATTCCTGATTTCCTGTTTGACCTCAAGTTCCACCATTTAGGGGTTCATATCTCTGAGATGTCAATGTTTTGGGGTTCCCCAATAAAGACAACACTTGTGGGTAGTTATGCCCCTTGGTTCCCCCTAACTAAATGAATGGGAAAGAGAGTAGCCTCTTCTCTGGTTTGGGAACTATGCTACTCTCTCTAGGTTTCCCATGGCTTCTGAGCCTGGCTCCTTAGGTGGATGCCTATATATGTGAATGGGGTGGGGCGGAATAGCCGTTGGCCAACCACGGGGTTCAGGACCCCTTTCTCCTGGAACTCCAACAACTTGGCTGTGAGTTCTACCTCAGAAATAACCCCAACAAGTTCCCTGGCTGTCACTTGCTCACCAGCTGGTAGAAGGTGATGTGAGGTCCCTCGGCATCATACAGGAACCACCAGGTGGCAGCAGCCACTGTGGCCAGGCCGACGTACACTGCAGGGAGGGCAGGAGGAAACCCGCTACAGTGGACAAATGTGGCTTTTTGGCATCCATTTCCCCTTCCTAATAATTCCCTGAATTTCTGTCAGGGAACCATTCTCTCCCTCTCTTAACCACGTGATTCGCAGGCTCCTCTCCTAGGGCCAGTGGTGAGCCTTGATTGGCAATCAGCATCTGTCATACCCCCGGCCACAGTGATTGGCTAAGAGATAAGCAGATAACCAAATTTAGGCCAATGAGAACAAGACTGAGACTTTTATCATATACTGAGAGAGTAGTATGACAAAAGGCTCTCTTCTGTTGAATTTGGGGTTGTAATGGAGTAAGTGTGAGGGCTGGAGCTGCAACAGCTATTTTGCCACTCAAGAGGCACCTGCCTGAGAATAGAACTCAGGCAGAGCCAAAATATGGCAGTGATACTATATGTCTGAGGCTTTGATCTAGCTATACCTGCCTGAGGCATGCTCTATCTAGTCTTATCAGTTAAATAAGCCTACAGAGTTTCTTCTGGCATGAGCCAGGCTGAGTCATACTGTCTGCCTAATTGATACAGGTTCCTAAGTCCTGGAACCCCACTGAGGTCTGGGACCCCACTGCTCACCTCCAATAGCCAGATATCTGAAAAAGAGCCAACCACTGATGAGGGCCTCGCGAGGGTTCCGAGGCAGCTTCTCCATGATGTCCAGGTCTGGTGGGTTGAAGCCCAGGGCCGTGGCAGGTAGGCCATCTGTCACCAGGTTCACCCAGAGCAGCTGCACAGGGATCAGGGCTTCTGGCAGGCCCAGAATTGCCGTGAGGAAGATGCTAGAAGTAGAATCACAGGCTCTAGCTGCTGCAAATGGAGGGTCCAGCTCCTGCTCACGTGCCAACCCAGGGAGTCCACCTAGTCTCCTCAGCAGCCCCGCCTTGCTCTGCTAGTTCTGATGTGTGTGCGCAAGTGAGAGGTATGTGTTCACAGCTCTGCCTCACACTGTGCCACCCTGTCTCCCCCAGTCCCAGCTCTGGAGCCTGGACATATCTGCAATTTAAATTTCTCCATTTAGGACATAGCCCTCTTTGGGGCACACACACATGTGGACAGTGCATGCCTGAACACCTACACATTTGTTTACAGGCATGAGCAAAAAGTAGCACAGGCCACACAATACCACAAAAACAAGCAAACACCTACACGCTTGCCTGACATTCAGAGATGCAGAATTCACATGTCCAGGCAAATGTGCTCACTATTCCCCACAGGCATCTCTCACATGTGAACCTAAGTGTGTATACAATTACACACCTGCACAAATCCTCTGTGCTTATTCTCATGCCCAAAGATGCATGAGAGGATACAGGCACACACATATACACATCTCTTACTCAGGCACACACCATTGTGTGTACACTACATGGACACACACGAACACATTACTGCCCAAAGGTGGGGTTAGTTCTCCCACTTTGTGCTACTCTGAAAATCCACTGGAGGGATGATAGGGGACTTTTCAGGTACCTTCTTGGGGGCCTCTGGGGAATGACAAGGTGTCCCTGTCCTGGCCCACCTGAGTGGGACCCTGGAAGGCCCCAGCCGGGGCAGGGCATGAGTCTCTCCATCCCCGCAGCCCCATCTCAGAAACAGGCATTTCCCTGGTCTCAAGGACAGAGCTTGTCCAGAGAGCTGGGAGGAGAGAACGCAGGGCCTCACCAGACAACCTCGCCGACATTGGAGGAGATGAGGTAGCGGATAAACTGCTTCATATTGCTGTAGATGGCCCGGCCCTCCTCCACCGCAGCCACAATGGAGGCAAAGTTGTCATCTGACAGTACCATCTCTGCCGCTGACTTGGCCACGGCTGTGCCCGAGCCCATGGCAATGCCGATCTCCGCTTTCTTCAGGGCCGGGGCATCGTTCACTCCATCTCCAGTCTGGAGGCCAGGTTAGGTGGGTTCACACCTGAGAAATTTCCCTTTCACCTCCCCAGCTTCCCTTACCCCAGCCTATCTTCAAGATTTGGGGATGTCCCTGAGGAAGCAGACAGCTGGGCAGAACGAATGGTGAGGTCATGAGCTGAGAAATTGGGGAGGAAGCTAAAAGGAAGGCAAGGAGTGCAGACAAGGACAAAGTTGGGAAGATCAGGTCTAAGGCCAGAGATGACGGTGAGGTGGGGATGGGCATGAGGGTGGGTCAACGATGAGGGCGGGGATGAGATTCATGTGGGATGTGAGAGAGAAGATAAAAATGATGTCAAGGACAAAGTTAAGTTTAAGTTAGGAATGAGGGGTCAAGGTCGTGGCCCAGGTCAAGGACCAGGTTGGTGTTGTAGCAAGTTTGGAGCCAAGGTCAAGGTCAAGACTGGACTCAGATTCAAGATTAAAAATTAGATTAAGGTAAGAGGTCAAGTCAAAGGCAGAGGCCAAGTCAAGGCTATAATCCGTATCAGGAGTGCTGTCATGGTTGAAGCTGGAGTTCAATCAAGGTCAACATTGGAAGCCAGATCAAAGTTGAGGTAATTATAAAGTGTTGGATTGAGGATATCAAGATCAATGTCAGAGGTCAGGTCAGGGTCTAAGTCAAACTGGAACCCATATCAAAGTTGAGCTCAAAGTATAGAATCAGATTAAGAGGGTCATGGCCAAGGTCTGGGACCTTCTATGTAAAGGTCAAAAGTAAGGTCAAAAACAAGGTTTCAGTTGTAGTCAAGTCAAAGTTGGTACCCAGTTCATTATCCAGGCCAAGGGTGAGCCACAAGTCAGGATTAAGGTGAAGGCAAAGGACTGGGTTAGGCTGGAGGTAAAATTAATAACAGAGGCCAGGTCAGGGGTGAGTTCTAGGTCAAAAGTCAGATAAGAGTTGACAAATAGGTCAGCAATCAAAAATGAGACAGAACAAAAACTAGGCCCAAACCAAATGTCCATCCACACATTAAGATAAATGAACTGTGGCATTCTCATACAATGGAATGCTACCCAACAATTAAAAAGCAATCAGCTACTGATACCTGCAACAACACAGATAAATCTCAAAAAAAAGCAAGACACAAAAGAGTACATACTGTCAGATTCCATTCACATGAAAATCAAGAACAGGCAAAATTATCTTTGGTGGAAAAAAATCAGAACAGCAGTTGCCTATTGTGGGAGAGGGTCTTGATGGGGCAGGAGCATGAGGGGACTTCATGGGTTGATGGTACTATTCCCTATCTTGATAAGGATTTGGGTGACACAGGTATGCGCATTTATCAGAACTCGCCAAATGAATGGCATGCTTAAAAGTTGTGCATTTCATTGTGTGCAAGTTTTAACTCAAATTAGAAAGAAACAGAACTACAAATAGTGCTCTCTAGAATATGCATTCTAAAATACGTGAAGGTAAAGTGTACTGATGTCTACAACTTACTTTGAAATGCATTTAAGAAAAGAGGGATTGAGGAGAGACAGATGGATAGGTATGTGATAAAGCAATTATAACAAAATGTTATTTGTAGACTTGGCTGGTGGCTATATAGACACTAACTATAAAATTATTTCAATTTCTCTGTTTGAAATTTTTCATAAGAAAATGTTGGAAAAAATAAGAATGAAGCAGAAGGAGGGGTTGCACGGGCTGCTCTTTCCAAGCCCTATGCCAAATGCTTCTCTCCACTCCTCACCACCTCCCCCAGGCTCCCATCTAGTGGCCTCACCATGGCAGTGACCTCATTAAAGGACTGTAGGTTCTCCACGATTCGAGACTTGTGTGCAGGTTCCACACGGGCAAAGCAGCGGGCCGTGCGGCAGGCGTGGCGCTGCTGCTCAGGGCTGAGGTCATCGAATTCACGGCCTGTATAGGCCTTGCCAGCCACATTCTCCATGTCCCTGAAGATGCCAAGCCGACGGCAGATAGCCACAGCTGTGCCTTTGTTGTCCCCTGTGATCATGACCACACGGATGCCTGCCTGGTGGCAGCGTGCAATGCAAGCAGCCACCTCGGGCCTTGGAGGGTCCAGCATGCCCACGCAGCCCACGAAAGTCAGGTCCGTCTGTAGGAAGGGGGCAGATGCAAGTGGGGCTTGGGCCCGCCCTCAGCCTGCTACCTGCCCAGCCATTGCAGACAGATGCACGGATCCCAGCCTTGCCCCGGCACCCACCTCATACTGCACAAACTTGCTGCAGTCATCCAGCCGCATGTCTTCCTTCCGCGGGGGTGCATCCTGGGTGGCCAGTGCCAGACAGCGCAGAGTGTCCAAGCCTGAGCTCCAATCCCGGACCTTGGCCAGAATCTGCTCCCTGGAGGTGGTGTTCAGGGGTACTGTGCGGTTCCCTACGCGGACTGAGCTACAGCGCTCGATCACACTCTCAGGAGCCCCCTGCAGTGTTGGGGAGGAGAGAGGCAACTTGTCAGCCAGGAGCCCTACCCTCCCTCCTGCCCAATTGCGAAAATGGAGGTCTAGGTATAAGAAAAGGCCACAGAAGGGGATACACAGTAAAGTACAGATTGGAATCCATTCTTTGAAAGCTCAGAGTGGGAACCAAGTGGACCCCACCGTGAGAAAATCCAAAGGGAATGGGGGAGCAGGGGGTGGCATCCTCCCCCCATCAGCCTGTAGCTGAGAAGGCCTGCTGTAGCATTTTGGGGGTGGAGGTGAGAACGGCAGCCCTCCTGCAGGTCATGCCTCTCTGCCAGCCCGATGCTCCTGGGATCCCAATTCTGCAGGGGGCTCAACAGCGGGAGGCAGGCTGGGCTCTCCCTGGGGACCAGAAATAGAGCCATACAGAGGGTGTGGTCGGTGTGGCCCTGGGAAGGTTGTTTCAGGGGTGGCAGGCTCCTCGGTGGCCTCGGGGTCTCACCTCGGACCTCGCCCCTTGCCTGGGAATAGCCTCTGAACATTCCTTCAGTGCCTTCTCTCTCTCTCCAAAGGGCATTGCTGTTTTTAAAGAGACCCAAACTCCCCATACAGAAGTCTTTTCATTTCAAAAGGGACTAAAAACTCCTCTGCAGGGTAAAGTGTGGGTTGTGATTCCTATTTCAGGTTCCAAAGCAGCAACAGGAGGTGCTGTGGGCAGAGGTCTGGACAGGCCTGGCTCCTTTCCTCTCGGGAGGAACAGGAAGCACCAAAGATGGCAACAACAGCCCGTCAGAGGCAACAGGCTTTTGAGAACTTGCAGCCTGGCCCTGCTGTTCAGATGGGGAAACGGGGCTCCATGGAGGAGCATGGGTGACCCCAAGGTCATGTGGCAGGGCAGTGCTTCTCAGCCCAGAGCTGGGACCATGTCCAGGGGCAGGCCTGAGCCCCCGGCCCTAGATTTATCTTCACCAATCCTGGATCTGCTCCCAGCTTCTCATAGCAGGCTGAGTACTCTCGCTCTGGACTCATCATGGGCCTCGCACCTCACTTTGCCTCCCACAGCTGTAGTCTATGGCTCTCCAGAGGACTGGAGAACAGGTCCCCCAGGGACCCCAGTTATGCAGAGGCCCCAGGCCAGTCAGGCAGGTCTCACCTTCACGAACATCTTGCTGCCTTGGGCACCTGGGCCAGGGCGAGTGGGCGAGCAGTACACTGACATGGACTTCCGGTCTCGAGAGAACTCCAGGGTGAACTCCTTCCGCATCAGCTGCTTGATGACCTGTGAGGCCCAGGTGGGTGCGGGCAAGGAGGGCAGAGCCAGCAACTCTCACCGCTTTCTCAGCAGCCTCTTGGCCCCATTAAAAGCTTCTTGCTCCCTGCAGGATGGTGTCTATCCTTCTCTGACCCTGGCATTTGAGGCCTCCATCTCCCTCACCAGCCCTGGAAGGGCCAAAAAAGGTGCCATTTCCTGACCATGCTGTGCATTTCCCAACTCCAAGTCCTCGACCACACTCAGACTTTCCCTCTCTTTTCTCCTTAGCCAAGTCTTACTAGGGTCTGATGTCCTTCCTCCTCTCAGAAGCCTCCCAAGACTCCGTTCTCCTCTCTCCCTTCTCCAGATGCCCCAGAAGGCCAGCCATGCGGCCTGTGGCCTGAGCCCCCGACTCACCGCATTACAGGCACCAGCTCGCTCCACCCGGGACAGGGCCTGCAGGTCCGTGTTGAACACATTCATCTTCTCCACTAGGCAGGTCAGGGCTGTCTCCGTGGCCTCTCCCACCTTCTCATACACGCCCCTGGCCTGGCGAGGCCCAGGTTACAGGGAGTGAGGGGCAAGGTGACCCCCAGAGGGGCTCCCAGCCTCATCTCCCACTCACTCCCTTAGAGCTCCCTCTGCCAGAGTTATCTGTAACCTCTTTTGCACCAGGCCTGTGGGCTCTTCTCAGCTGACCTGGGGTCTGGGTGGTGTCTGGCACTGATGCTCACCTTCTCTTCCAACCCTCCCATCTCTCAACACCAAGGGCCATCATTGCCAGGTTCCTCTTTCTAAAACCTACCGTCCCGGCCCTGTTCCTTCCCTCCCACCATCTCTCCTTGAGACCTCATATGCCCCCTGCCTCCGCCAACTTTCACATGCTCACAGCTGCCAGTGCCCAGGCCAGCCTTGCCATCTCTCCTAAGCTCCGTGCCCATATGTCCACTTGCTACCTATTAAACTCTGTTCCCTAGGGATCCTCATGCCACCTCTTCTTCTCCCTACACTTGCCACTTTAGCGACAGTCCCAGCCAGGACAGCAACCAGAAGCTACCCAGACCTCCACCCTCTCTTTCACTTAATCAGTCACCAAGTCCCAGGATTTTGGCTCCAAAGTCTCTCCCCAGCCTATGCTTTTTCCCCTCTCCCCGAGACCCAGGACTCCGCCAGCATCTCTGTCCTGGACGACCACACAGGAGTCCCTGGCCGCAGTCTTGCCCTGTCTGTTCTGTCCTCCACACTGAAGCCTAGGTAATCTGTAAATGTAAATGTGGCCATTATCACTCCCCTGCTTAAAACCCTTCGGTGGCTATCTGCCCTCAGCTTGGCATTGGGCCTGACTTAGTATGGCCAAGTCCTTCCCCTCAGACAGGAGCATCCTACGTGCTCCATTCCACTGCTCCAGCCACAGGGAAGGTAACTCAGTGCCTAAATCACATGAGTCTGTTATGATCTGGGGGCCTTTTCTGGGCTGTGCTTTCTGCTTTAAACATCTCCCTTAGTCTGACACCCCAAATCACTTCCCTCAGGCCCGGCAGCACCTTACATTACAGTCCCCCACAGCCCTAGAGCCCCCAGGCCCAGTTCAGAAGCCAGTCAGAGAAAGAGGGAGGTGTGTCAGTGGAGGATGTGCAGGGGTGGCAGTGCTCCTGCAGTGTGGCACCCCAAAGGGGCAGGGCCCACCAACCCTGAAAGCGTTGATACTCTGGGACAAGGGTCTGTCCTAGCAGCTTGGATATGAGGGAGGTCATGCAAAGGAGAAGGGGCCACCTCGTTGTAGTCCAGCGCCGAGTCATTGCACAGGGCACAGATAGTCGCCAACTCCACCAGCCCATCAAACCGCCCGCATTGCACCAGCTGCTCTCCCTGCCGCCTGAGGAGCCAGGAGGTCAGTAAAAGGGACTTGGCCTCATCCCTGAGAGGCACCCATCCTTTTGGCCCCACCCCCAGGAGGCCTTGCTCATTGACAGCTCTCAGAGCTGTGGCATGTAGCCCAGTCCGACCAGGAAACCCAGCCCACAGGAGCCCCCTTGCCCAGCACGTCCAGCACTCACACTTCGCCCTCCGGAGCATAGGTGGTACCCGAGACGGTGAACTCGTGCAACCGGCAGGCACTTGCTTCCACCTCGGCTACCACGAACATCTGGGGATGGGGAGCGCAGAGCAATGCTGAAGTGGGCCCTTGCCTCCCTCCTCCCTGGACAGCCAATCTGAATAACGCCTGACCCCAGCTTGGGTCCTGTAGGCCCCCAGGGGAGCTGGTAGCCTTCTATCCCCCAGGGTTTTGGAGCTGCAATGCAAGAGCATGGAGTTCAGACTGAGGCAGGGCCCCTCTGCTCTGCCTAGGTGTGTCCAGCTCAGGCTTGTCCATTTGCTCTGGGCAGGCACCCCTGATGAGTTTATGGCAGACTCTTCACTGTTCTGGGGGCAGCTCCCAGATTGACAGAGCCTTTTGCTGGGGCAAAGCCTGGGTCCTTGCCCACCTTACTGTGTGACCCCTCGCTGAGCACCTGAGCCTCAGTTTCTCCACTGGTAACATGGGAAGAAAGTGTGATCAGAGTCTAGCTGCCCCTCTTTGCCTTCAAGAGGATGAGTTCCCAGCCTCCAGGGGTGGAAACTCATACCGGGCTCTGAGGCAGACCCCTCCTGCCCAAAGATGTCTGCAGACAGTGTGCTCCTCCCCACAGGGCAAGCTGGGTCACCCACCCCCACCCGTGTACCTCACAGATGAGGGCTTACCCCTCCCAGGGAAGCATTTTCTTGTCTGTCAGCCAGCTCTGCCAGGGAGACAGTTCTTGCATCCCGAAAATCACCTCACTGTACATTCCCAAACCAAAGGCCAGTCCAGCACCCAGTAGGTGCTCAATAAATGTCCTTTTCTTCTCGCTCTCCTCCCTGCTCCTGTGGGCAGTGCTCCAGCCAGCACAGTCTCTGAGACGTCAGGTTTTTCAGCCCTCTACAACTTCCCTAGACTGTGCTTTTCAAGTCTTTATTTCAGTCAAGGACCACTCTGTTCAAATCCTACTAGGATTTTTAGCAATGCAATTGAGCTGCTGGTGCCCCTTCCCCTGTGGCAGCCTCTAATGGGTTTTGATGGGGATTTAAGGTCTCAGACACAGAACCTGGTTTTCTGAGGCCCAACGGGCAGACTATGGGAGCAGGGGTGGGAGAGGAGCAATGGGGGAACCTGGAACAGGTGGGAAACTCACAGCTTTCACCATCTACCCTTCTGCCCCAAAGGCCTGCAGGAGTCTCAGCCAGAATCCCTGGAGCATGTGGGCAGCAGGCCCAGGATCTGGGATCAAGTACCAAGGAATGAATAATTCCTGCTCTGGCCCTTCTCAGGTCACTGGAGCTGGCATATCTGGTGACAGATGCCTGTCACACATTGACTGCAGAGAGTCATGGTGGAGCAGGATAGAGCCTGGGTCCAGGCCCAGCTTGGTTCAGATGCCAAGACTGTACTTGACCCTCTCCTATGTCCTTTATTTATAGATTACCTGGCGGGGCTTGCACGCCCAAACTTCAGATGAAGAAACTGAAGTTCACAGATGGCCAGTGACCTGCCAGGGTCCTAGTGACGCATGTCCAGCCAGGCTTTGCTGCTCTGTCCCATGAAAACCTGTATCTGCTACCCACCATGGAGCAGCCCACAAGTTCTCTCCTCCATCCCTGGCTAAAAAGGAGCCAGGGAGCAGCCCAGAGAGGGAGCCCAGCCTCCAAACATCACACAGTAACACCAGTGAGACCCCA